TTAAAGAAAGGACACATATTGTTGTTAATATTTGATTAATTTAAGGTAAGTTCCTTTGGGTAAATATCGGTAGTATATTTAGAGAATTCTTGATAATTTAACGAAAAAATATCATCAAGATAACGGTAAGTGTTTTTGAATTTATCAGTGAAGGGCATCCGATACAGTTTCAAGGGAGTTAACTCTTGGCGCGACGTTCAACGTTCAAATTCCAAAAAACGTTACTTTCGGCGGGACGTCATGCGTGTTATTTTCCTTAATAAACTTCTCCTTCCCATTTGAATGCCATGACGTCACTGTAACTGGAACAGGTTGCAGGAACCGCCATTAAAAATGGTAAACTCCGGGCACTTTCTTAGCCATAAAGAGAAAGAGAGACGAGAAAAAGTGAAACAGTGGAAGCAGAAAACGTCAAAAGATTGTCTATCAGAGCATGTTATAAAACTAGCGAAAACAGAAACGGTCACAGTTGATGAAGAGTCATGGAAAAAAAGGAAGAATGATAGATCGATTTTATGTAGCCAAATAGCTCTTTTGTCAACAGTGCAAGGAGGCACTTGCTCTGATAAACATTTCATCAGAGAAAAATATGGGGTATGCAAGCCATTTGTTTATACGATCTGAATGCAGGCAAGTTAATCAGATTGAGACCAGTGAAACACATGTACATGGGAAACGTGGCCCACAGGTGTATGATGTAAACACAAAAGCAGCATAAGGTAATTAAATAATAGAGCTCTTGAATTGATATATCTTAGTGGCTCATTCTCTTGCAATTCCATTCCTTAAAATTTAAAAAAAACCAACCTTGAACAATATTTAGTATAAACGATTCCCGAATTAATGTTTCTCGAACACATCAACTTCTACGTCTTTATAGTAGTGCATTTTATTCTTAAAAATGAAAGGAAGCGGTCACAATGGTATGCAGTCAATCTATACAAAACTAATAATATAACGGCTTTACTTTGAGCTTTCTACATATATTCCATAACAGTCAACAACTTCGTGAAGGCGTCAATAAAAAAATTCGAAGTGATAAACTGCTTCCTTGTAAGCAGCAACCCTCTTTCAATGAGTTTGTGTTCTTTGTGAAGGAGACAGCATCCAACCAACCAAAACAATTTACAGAAAAAAACTAAATAACTAATGAAAATAATCACCTAGAAATCCTCCTAATGTCTTCAACAATAGTTGCGTGTGTAACTGTTACTGTAACAGTACCAGTATATCTAGCTATAAATTGAATTCAATCTATCAATTCAGCCATGAAGAAATTTAATAATCAACAATAAGTACCTGCGATGTTTCTCACTACATAGCTACAGGAACATGAACCCGTGACGGGGTTAAGATAGTTTTATTATATGTAAAATCGGTCCTCTTACTTTTTTGAATAATCACAGTAGCAGACAGCAAGACACCTATCCGAATCGTATAAAATCATACTGCCCCTACATTGTAATATCGGCAACTGTACCTCGGAGTAGATTTCCTATAACAAACCCATATACTATTTCAAAGAATAAAGGTTCCTGTATATACAAACAGATCTTTCATTTTATACCCATTTCTTCTTTTCTGAACTTGATGATTTTAAACACGATGCTATGCTTCCCGAAGAAGAAAAATAACGGAAGCATATGTATTATTTTAGTTTTATTCGCCAGTCCGTCCTACTCCGTTTTATTCGCCAGTCCTTCCTACTCCGTTTTATTCGCCAGTCCGTCCTACTCCGTTTTATTCGTCAGTCCGTCCTACTCCGTTTTATTCGCCAGTCCGTCCTACTCCGTTTTATTCGCCAGTTCGTCCTACTCCGTTTTCAAAACCAAGCATACACAGTCTAGTATTCTGAATACATGCGATGAAAATGTTTCTGTAAATAGGTATGCCAGTGTCAGCTTAATTGATGTTTTGATTTGAATTAAGTAGACTACTAGTATAATCCAATTTAATTTAATTAACCAAAAATTGGATATTTTCAATTTAAGCAATGATGATAGATGTTGGCATAGGTGTACGTAATCTTGCAAGACTTATGACAATAATGGGTGTTCCTGGTAGTTATGAAAGAACGATGAAGAAGAGAGAACGCGAACTGTTTAAACCAATGGTAGATGTAGCACGATATTCATGTCATGAAGCAATTACAAAGGAATGTTCCGAAACAAGGTAATTATCCATATACCGGAATTAATTTTAAGAGTTTAGATTCAGCATATCAAAAGAACCCTTGAATTAATCTTTTTTTATACCCCCACCGTAGCGGCATTAAGTTTTACCCTTGTCCGTCCGTCCGTACGTCCGTACGTACGTTCTAAAATTGGTTTCCGTTCTCTAACTTTAGTTTGCCTTAACCAAATGTTATGAAACTTATATATAATGCTTATTACTACAAAACACAGATCAAGTTTGAATTTTGGTAGCGTCACTTTTACAGTTCTAGAGTTATGCCCTTTACAAATGGAAAAATTTCTAATTTTTTCGTTTCCGTTCTTTAACTTCAGTTTGCCTCAACCAAATGTTATGAAACATGTACACAATGCTTATTACTACAAAACACAGATCAAGTTTGAATTTTGGTAGCGTCACTTTTACAGTTCTAGAGTTATGCCCTTTACAAACGGAAAAACTGCTAAATTTTTCGTTTCCGTTCTTTAGCTTCAGTTTGCCTCAACCAAATGTTATGAAAAATATACACAATGCTTATTACCACAAAACACAGATCATGTTTGAATTTTGGTGGCGTCACCTATACCGTTCTAGAGTTATGCCCCTATAACAAATGAAAAAAAAATGCAAAAATTTTCGTTTCCGTTCTCTAACTGTAGTTTGCCTCAACCAAATGTTATGAAACTTATTCACAATGCTTATTACCACAAAACACAGATCATGTTTGAATGTTGGTGGCGTCACCTACACCGTTCTAGAATTATGCCCATTTATAAATGGAAAAATTGCTGGATTTTTCGTTTCTTTTCTCTAACTTAAGTTTGCCTCAACAAAATGTTATGAAACGTATACACAATGCTTATTACCACAAAACTCTGATCAAGTACAAATTTGTATAGCAATTTTTTTTACAGTTCCTGAGATATGTCCCATTACAACTTTATATGCAAGCGGGGCATCATCTGTGTCCCATGGACACATTCCCCATTTATTTATTTTTTTTTATTAAAATCGAACTAAGTTGAATTTTGATCCCAATTCCAAAACCAGGCATAAAATTTAAATTCACAGTTAAAATCAGTATATCAAATAACCCCAAGAATTCAGTTATTGAAGAAATCAAAATAAAGTTTAATTTTGGAACTAAAGGTGGACCAATTCAAAAACGGGCACATATTCCAAAATCAAAGTAAACAGTTAGATTCAACACATAAAATAACCCTAAGAAATCAAGACTTTTGAAAAGTATTGTTTTTTTTTACCCCTTTTCTCTAAAAAGTTAGGTCCATAACCTCCAAAATCAATCCCAACCTTCCTTTTTTTGGTTTACAACCTTTTGATACAATTCCATAGAGGTCCGTACAATTATTGTCTGGAAACTAAATGTCTTCGGACGAGGACGAGGCTGACAACGTTATAACATTATACGAACGCAAAAACTTTTCGGTCGTATAAAAAGGTAGTGCCTCATCTATGTAATCATTTATGAAATTTCCAGAATTACATGATGAATGTATAGACCATCTTATTTACAAGGACAGAGTATCTACATGTTGATGTCTTAATTTGTTCGGTTCACTTCTAATTGTCTCCTATACACAGATTCCCTTTATTCCTGTACGAAGCATTTTAAAAGTACATCGTCCTGAACATGCATGAAATAATTGCCACTGGACATCAAGCAATCATCAATCAATCAATCCCCAAAACTACGCGTAGCTCATAACATAATTGGCATTAAACGATTTTGCCGCTACATCCGGTTTTGCTTACAATACTAGTCTTTTTAATATACTACGTGGATTTTATAATTAGAATTATAAAACCAATATAATCAAATATAATAATGTAAAATTAATTTTCTTTTTTAAACTCCAGGAAAAGGATTGTCAGTAAAGTACGATATGTGTTGGCAGAAGCGAGGATCAGGTCGCTCGTACAGTAGTTCGTCGGGCGTTGGAACAGCAATTGGTCAGGTAACTGGGAAAATATTAAATTATGACCTTCGTGTTACACATTGCGCCATATGTCACAGTGCTGAGAAAGCCAAAAGAGACGCAAAACCGCACAACTGTCAAAAGAATTGGACAAAAAGCGCAAAAGCCATGGAATCGTCAACAGGAGCATCCCTGATGGAAAATATTGAAGAAGTGTCTGGGGTTCCTGTTGATGTGCTCATTATGGGTGATTATGCAGCTACTTTGTCTAGGGTAAAATAAGCTTTGGACCACGAGGTAAAGAAATGGAGCGATATCAACCATTCAACAAAATCACTCGGTAATGCTTTTTATATTTTGAAATCTAAGCACAAAACACTGAGTACAGATATTAAAGAATATTACAAAATGTGTTTTTCATGTGCTATTCAACAAAATAAAAACAATGAAACTAAGCTCAAAGAAACATTGACAGCAAATGTTCCACATTCATTCGGTAATCATGACAAATGTGGCAATTGGTGCAATAAAAGCATTGAAAATAATTTTCACAAATATCTCCCTCATGGTAAACCGCTAACGGATGATGCTATACGACAAGACGTCCAAATCATATTTGACACGGTAGCTAACCATGCTGAACGGCTAGCACCGGCTGGATCCACAAAGGATGTTGAATCTACACATAATATTTATGCATCAAAAGCACCAAAACGGTTTTGTTTCGGTAAAAGTGAAAATCTTAAAACACGGGTGAGTGCTGCAGTGTTGCAAAAAAACAGGATATTCTTATATTTCTTGCATAAATACACAAGCTAACCTATTAACTGATGAAATCACTAAGGCGTTTAGAAAAGAAGAAATTTAGAAATAAATTAATACAGACAGAAAAAAAACAGGGTGTTACATATAAATCGGGATTGTCTCTTAGTTTAGTAACTGAAGATAAAGAGATTACAGGAATCAAACAGAAACCTGCACTATTGCCCTTTTGCTCTTTTACTGGTAGTTGCATACTTTTTTGCCTAGAAACATCTTCGCTGAAATTAGATTCCGAAATTCTGCAAATAGCTGCACTAAACATAGTCTCTGGTGATACGTTTGATACTTATTTTCAGCCGAATAAATCAAAAAACGCCGAGTTCCAGTGCCGTTACTGGTTTAACAGCAAATGGAAATATCCTTTTTTACAATGGAAACCTGTTCATGCAGTCACTTCTAAAGCAGCTTTCCAGAGTTTTGTACTATGGTTAAAACAATACCATGAATACGGTCAGGTCATGCTTGTCGCACATAATTGGGTCAATATCTTTAATTGTTTTTACATAGGCTGTAATAGTAACGTTTTTTCCTGTAGCTCAGTCAATATCGTAAACTTGGATATGTATGATAGCTCGTTTCAAAGCTGTGACATTTTCACATATGTGGTTAAATTTTCGGGGTACGAAGTGAGATTACTTTTTCCGTAAATTAGCATACCCCGAACATCCTTTCGTGATGCGGCTCCTCGTGGTAAAAAATCCCTTTTTTGACACAATAAGTTCTTTGAAAATTTAATACTTTGAACACATTTAATAGCTCCATAGTTTTTACACATTTATTCTATGTTCCTCTACTTTCCTAATCACCGCAAATGGTTAAGCTCAGTCATTTGTTAAAAATAGAAACATGTCCAATATCACTACACAGAGATTTTTTGTTTACACACAACTTTTGAGTTCCTCATTTCGAGGCGCATTAGGGATATTGACCCATATTGAAATCCATAGTTCTGATTTTTCCAAATATTTTTATGTGATCTTTATCGGTATGACATTTTGAATAAATCTGTGTATTTTTGTTCATTTCTGAAAAAAAATAAAGTTGTTTCAGCACTATAAGGCAATGACACTTTTATCGCTATATTTATTTGTTTTGAATACAGTGTGTATGTATAATTAATTTCTTCCAGTATACCTTCATTAGTCAAAACATGGACAAAACATCTGACGATAACCTTGAATTACAATACACAGACCCTGTTAAAGCATTCAATAAATTTTCTGGTGCTCAAAAGTGCATTTTGACAGAGAAATTATGCAAAAATGTAGATTTCATAAAAAAAAAACACCAAAATACTTAATTATTTTTACCAGTGGAAATCTGGTTTATTATACTGTAGAAACCATTCTAAACTACTGTGAATGTCATTTTTATCATATAATTAGAGTGCAATGAAGTGCAAATTTTCAAAACTTGTCCTTTCACATAATTCTATTTGAAAAAAAAAATGTTTTTTACATGTATTTCAGTGAAAACCTTTTATCAGTGAGAAATCCACATGAGGTTTTAAAGGAAACATTGTGACATCACACGTATTGTGGCGTCACTAAATAACGACGGATCAAAATAATGCTAATTATAGTTTGAAGTGTTACATGAGGAACAGTTGCCGCAAGATTTAACTCGAAATATGGAGTCGAAAAGATCAGTAACTAAGCATTTTTATATAATCTCAAGACCATAGCAACAGTTTTCATATCAGCATATTTTTAACATACCGACTGTAATTTCAATTGCATAAATACCATAAATAAACAGTTTAGAGCTTGCCTAATAAAACAAAATGCTTACCAGTTATTCAGAACTTTTTAAAACCTCTAGTTTGCCGTCTCAGGTTAAAAATTAATGATATGTCTGGAACTGAAATAAGACAACAAATTTTACTCAGGCTGTGTTATCATTTGATTTAAATACACAAGTATTATTGAGAGAGAAAACATTAAATTTTTAAAAGTTTTACCACAAAGAAAGAAAAATGCTTCTCCCTTGTGGCTTATCAACCTTCATTTAAACATTAGGAGTAATGAGTAATAGCTTAATAGTTGAATAGCCCATCACTATTGTTTTCAAAAGGTTTGACCCTCCCCCTTTTTCACTGAGAAAAGACAATATCTTGTGATTTGCTAGTGTGCATTAAAATACATAATAATTCATGATTTTCTTAATACATGTTTGTCTGTTTATTTGCATATGATTTCTAATGACCAGGGGTCAAATTTATTGGATAAAAGCACATGTGATGATGTATCTCACTTTACTCGTATGAAGAGTGTTATTTCCCTTGATTATCAGTTATTCCTGTAGACCGGAATGATAATTACATAACAAAGACTTTATTGTGTTATGTTTACTTACAATTTAATAATATAAATGTTTTCATAAGTTAGTTCATGCCTTTTTCAATTAAATAAGGTGTTCCTTTTGGATCTCTCGGGGTAAACAAAGCTATGATTGTGCCTAAAAAGAAGTGTTCAGCCCCGTGCATGTAATGCATTTTAAAAGCGAAAATTTCATTGAATTTTTGCTGATCTTTATCGATAATGTTTATCTAAAACCAGCTGGGATAACTTGGTATAAATAAAAAACTATTAACCGTCATTTTCACACTTTTCTCTGGTGTACAAGGTGCAATCATCCATAAATCAGTCTGAAAATTGTTGAAAATTTTCTTGTAATTTGGGTCAATATCTTTAATTGTTTTTACATAGGCGGTAATGGTAACGTTTTTTCCTGTAGCTCAGTCCATATCGTAAACTTGGATATGTATGATAGCTCGTTTCAAAGCTGTGACATTTTCACATATGTGGTAAATTTTCGGGGTACGAAGTGAGATTACTTTTTCCGTAAATTAGCATACCCCGAACATCCTTTCGTGATGCGGCTCCTCGTGGTAAAAAATCCCTTTTTTGACACAATAAGTTCTTTGAAAATTTAATACTTTGAACACATTTAATAGCTCCATAGTTTTTACACATTTATTCTATGTTCCTCTACTTTCCTAATCACCACAAATGGTTAAGCTCAGTTATTTGTTAAAAATAGAAACATGTCCAATATCACTACACAGAGATTTTTTGTTTACACACAACTTTTGAGTTCCTCATTTCGAGGCGCATTAGAGATATTGACCCATATTGAAATCCATAGTTTTGATTTTTCCAAATATTTTTATGTGATCTTCATCGGTATGACATTCTGAATAAATCTGTGTATTTTTGTCCATTTCTGAAAAAAAATAAAGTTGTTTCAGCACTATAAGGCAATGACACTTTTATCGCTATATTTATTTGTTTTGAATACAATGTGTATGTATAAGTTATTTCTTCCAGTATACATCACTAGTCAAAACATGGACAAAACATCTGATGATAACCTTAAATTACAATACACAGACCATGTTAAAGCATTCAATAAAATTTTCTGGTGCCTAAAAGTGCATTTTGACAGAGAAATTATGCAAAAATGTAGATTTCATAAAAAAAACTCCAAAATACTTAATTATTTTTACCAGTGGAAATCTGGTTTATTATACTGTAGAAACCACTCTAAACTACTGTGAATGTCATTTTTATCATATAATTAGAGTGCAATGAAGTGCAAATTTTCAAAACTTGTCCTTTCACATAATTCTATTTGAAAAAAAATGTTTTTTACATGTATTTCAGTGAAAACCTTTTATCAGTGAGAAATCCACATGCGGTTTTAAAGGAAACATTGTGACATCACACGTATTGTGGCGTCATTAAATAACGACGGATCAAAATAATGCTAATTATAGTTTGAAGTGTTACATGAGGAACAGTTGCCGCAAGATTTAGCTCGAAATATGGAGTCGAAAAGATCAGTAACTAAGCATTTTTATATAATCTCAAGACCATAGCAACAGTTTTCATATCAGCATATTTTTTAACATACCGACTGTAATTTCAATTGCATAAATACCATAAATAAACAGTTTAGAGCTTGCCTAATAAAACAAAATTCTTACCAGTTATTCAGAACTTTTTAAAACCTCGAGTTTGCCGTCTCAGGTTAAAAAGTAATGATATGTCTGGAACTGAAATAAGACATCAAATTTTACTCAGGCTGTGTTATCATTTGATTTAAATACACAAGTATTATTGAGAGAGAAAACATCAAATTTTTGAAAGTTTTACCACAAAGAAAGAAAAATGCTTCTCCCTTGTGGCTTATCAACCTTCATTTAAACATTAGGAGTAATGAGTAGTAGCTTAATAGTTGAATAGGCCATCACTATTGTTTTCAAAAGGTTTGACCCTCCCCCTTTTTCACTGAGAAAAGACAATATCTTGTGATTTGCTAGTGTGCATTAAAATACATAATAATTCATGATTTTCTTAATACATGTTTGTCTGTTTATTTGCATATGATTTCTAATGACCAGGGGTCAAATTTATTGGATAAAAGCACATGTGATGGGTGTTGTATCTTTACCCTAAGCCCTGGGTTCTCCAAGCTAGGAGCAGATAACTGACACCAGTGGGCCTCTTGATGGATGCAGCTGAGGACGGAGTCTGCGCACGCCTGCAGCGCCCTCTTGCGACTGACCTTCGAAGTGAAGAGACGTGACACACGAAGAGACAGCATCAACGCCCGATAATAGAGGTAATTACAGTAATAGAGCCTTCTCTTGTCATATATCATAAGTCCAGGTCGGGTCCTTTCAGGGGAAATAGTCTTTCCCGAGACGAACACCACATTATTGGTAGTGCGGGTGGTTCGAACGCACATCGTGGGACCTGGGTAGCCATTTTGGTCAGGGAATTTTGACCAGGTGCAATCAAGCGTGACTTGCAGAATTTATTTGGCTATTATGTGACTTCGGAAGTCGGTTTAGGCTCAAATAAAAGCTTTAGAAGCAGTACCTCATTGAAAAAAGCGTTTTGGGATAGGTTTTTCACTGTCTGTGAAAGTTTTCAAACTTTGTTCAAAGTATTGATTTTTTCAGATTGAGTCTCGCGTGATTTCGTGTTACCAGGTAACGACGACACTTGAGATCAATACCGGAAGTGATTTCCGTGATTTGTTTACATATGCAATACACATCTTTGCTATTTGTAAACGGGATTTAGAATCAATAAAGACTTGTTTTTTCTTTAGTTATTGTCTTGTCATTTATTTATATTGAGAGTATCATTGCATATAGGTCATTATTAAACACAATGAGTGGGTATAAAATTAAAATCAACTCCAGTCCGGAGTCTGTTCTCCTACATGTACCTGGCATTGGTACGGCTACCGCTCATAGAATCATGGTTATGAGAAATAATGGCATAACAATTACACCTGAAATATTGGCCCAAATACCATATATGAGAAATAAAATGTCCCAGGTGTCAGAGATGATTGATTTTTCCCCATGTGAATTGAATGACATGGACAATGTTGATGCAAGGTATCAAGGTCAGCCACATGTGTCACAAGACTATGAGACAGATACCCAGGTAAAATCACATGAGGGAGGGGGAGCCAATTTTGAGTCAACACCCTGTACTCCGCGTACTATTAGGCAGGAGATTGCTCATTTCCAACAATTTAAGACGGACACACAGAGGTGGATAGACCAACACGGTTCTACGTACGCACCTGTCCAGGGGGGTGAAATCTATACAAAACCTAAATTACATCAACCGGTTTTTTCTGACTCTGAGATTGTCATGGATTCGACACTTGCAGTGCAACGTACAGTGTGGAACTCACAGGTTGATCACAAGTCGACAAGATCCATGCCATCATGCATCGACGAAAATGAATATCCTACCCAGGAGATGGACCGTTGCAGAATATCAGATGATATTCTGTCCTGTTGTGAGGAATCACTACTTCACAGTCAAACATTACAACCAGAAGTAATTGGCTCTGGACGTGGATCACAATATGATAAACAGGAAAATGTCGAATATGAACCATCAGATAAGCCAGATCCGCCAAGTCAAGATCAGGCCTTTAGGTGTCAAGAAAACAACCAGTCTGTAGGTATTCAACATGACAATAGTGAAAGTATGATAGAAGTTCAGCTGAACCAGCAACCCAGGTTTGTGGGTGGAAACTGTAAAGCATACGAGCTATCAACTGTTATGATAGAGCGAGATTTAGAGAACCCTAATCTCAATGATAGGTTTCAACAAAGTCAACCGCCTACTGAGCAGGACTTCTACAGCCAGAATAGGCAAACAAGCAACCAACACAGTCGGTCGTTAGATAATTCAGTCAACTATATTCAACCGCCTCAACAAACTGTTCAACTCCCTGTTGAACATACCATCAACTTCAACCAGCAACGTCAACAAACTGTCCAACTCCCTGTTGAACATACCATCAACTTCAACCATCGTGAACAAAATGTTCAACAGCCTGTTGAACATACCATCAACTTCAACCAACAACGTCAACAAACTGTCCAACTGCCTGTTGAACATACCGTCAACTTCAACCAACAACGTCAACAAGCTGTTCAACTCCCTGTTGAGCATAACGTCAACTACTCTCGATCACATACTCGAGCCATTCAACTACCTGGTGATCACACTATCACCAACACACACCCAACTCAACACACAAATCAACAATCTACCCGGCATACTTTAAGCAACATACAACATCAACCACAGGTCACATCCATGTCGAGCAGACAAATGCCTACTCAACCAACTTTCAACAGGTCAATTCTGACAACTGTCAATCCACCAGTCAGGGAAAGGAAACCTTGTCAACAACCTCAACCCACCGTCAACAGTGCCCATCAACCACACTGTCCCAGGTCAACAAGACAGTCAACTAGTCAACAGAACTATACCATTCCAAGTAATACAGCCGAACGACAAAACTTCATCAGGGTGATTGATAATCCACAACATCAACCACCGATCAGCCAACCTGTACCTATACCACCTATCAGCAGCCAAGTTCCATCGACACAACAATTTTTTAACAGACCAGGTCAACACCAACCTAACACCAACCAGTCAGGGTTTCAACAACCCCTCATCAACACAATTGGTCAACAGGGGCAGCCGCCTCAGACCATCCTGCACCAACAAGAATTTTACAGACAACAGCCGGTGCGACATCTCCACAATGTTACTGCACCTCTACATCAGCCTCAACAGCCATTTGGAAATATACCATATCAACAAGGGAGGCCTGATCAGCCTTCAACAACACACAATCTTGCTCAGGGAACAGCTCAATCATGTTATTATGGTGCAGCTCCACACTTGCCAGTGTACCCTCAACAACAACAACAACAGATGTACAACAACCGACCAGAGGCTCAGTTTCAGGACCGAAGAAGTATATCTAGGGTTACAAGCTGCTCAAATAGTGATTCAGATTCATCTAGTACTACATCAGGGGTAGTTTACCGTCGGAGTCGTCACAAAAGTAGAAACCATAGAACACATTCTAGACAAAGTGTGTCAAGTAGACATGTTTCTCCCGTTGAGGAGGAGGTGAGTGATCACTCATCGCCACACCACAAGAGCTCAGGCAAAAAGCACGCTAAAAGGAAGTCAGACAGACATAGTCAGTCAGACACAGATGGTCACCATTCATCGAGCAACCGTCATAAAGCTAAGCCAGCTCCGATGAAACAAGATAATAAATTTTTCTTTTCTATGCCCAAAAACCTAAAGTATACAGGAAAAGGCAACTGGAAGGCATTTTACACAAAGTTCACCGGGTACGCTGAGGCTGCAGGTTGGACAGACAAACAAAAACGAGACCAGCTTTGCTGGTGCTTGGAGGACAAGGCTAGTGATTTTTATACAGTGCTGCTGGACTCTAACAAAGACATTGCTTTTAGTGCAGTAGTGACTAAAATGGTGAAACGCTTTGGATTTCAGGAACCACAAGAAACTTCACAGATACAGTTTCAGACGATAACCCAAAAGAAAGAGGAATCCCTGGAGGACTGGGCAGATCGTGTGTTATCTTTGGCAACACAATCCTTCAGAGATCTCTCTGAAGAGTACATGACAAAACAAGCAGTAATGAAATTTTGTCAAGGTTGCAATGATCCAGAGGCTGGCCAACATGCATGTGGATTTAAACCAGTATCGGTTGAAAATGCAATTGATATAATTAAGTGGTTCCAACATTCAAGAAAAGCTGTACAAGCCCACATTGCTCAAGGAAAAACACCAGAGGTGAAACAAGCAGCAGCTCCAACACCAGTAGCACAAGTAAGTGATACACCCTCAGTGCATGGGGTAGGCTCTTCCAAATCAGCCATAGACACCCGAGTGTCGCAGATGGA